CATTCTGCTCTGCAGGCCCTAAAGCATTCATGTTTTGGCCAAATTCTGCTCCTGTGGTGTAGGGCAGGTCCTGTTCCTTCCTGGCCGTCAGTCAGCAGCTCCTCTCAGCTCCTGAAGACCTCCTGCATTCCTTGTCATATTGGCCCCTCCATCTTTAAACCAACCACACAGCATGTTGAATCGTTCTTATGCCTCAAATTTCTACGACTTCTCTTTCTGTCACATCTCTTCTGCTTCTAGGCTGAGTAAATATTCTGCTTTTAAGAACTCATGTGATTAGATTGGGCCCACTAAAACAATCCAGGATAATCCCTCTATTTTTAACCTTTTTTATTGTTGTTGTTGTTGTTAATCCTAACCCAAGGATATTTTTCCATTGATTTTTAGAAAGAATGGAAGGGAGGGGGAGAGACACAGAGAGAGAAACATCAATGTGAGAGAGACACATAGATTGGTTTCCTCCTACACAGCAAACGAGGTATGTGCCCTTTGACCGGAATCCAATTCACAACCCTTCAGTCCCCAGGCCTATGCTCTATCCACTGAGCCAAACTAGCTAGGGCTCTATTTTTAAGCTTAATTACATCTGCAAAGTCCCTTTTGCCATGTAATGTAACATACTCACAGGTTCCAGGTAGTAGGAAATGAGAGTCATTCTGCCCATCAAAAAAAATAATAATAATAAAGAAAAATATTTCATGAATAGTTTTTATATTTCTCATATGTTGAAATTAAAATATTTTGGATATTTTAAGTTAAATAAAATACACTAAGAAATTTAATTTTACCTGTTTACTTTTACTTTTTGATGAATATAGTATTTTAAAATTGCATATGTGGTTTATATTTGTATCTTACATTACACTTCTATTTGCCTGTACTGGTCTAGACCTAGAGAGATCTTAAATCCTCTTTACCATCCTCATAGTTTGTGACATCTGATCTGTGGACCATCTCCTCTATAAGCAATGCTTCCCTTACAATCAGGTATGGCCCTATACTTTTAAGCCTCTTTCATACAAGTGATATTTCAGTACAGTGATGGAGCATGGAGAGGTAGGTGTATGGGTCCATTTCCATATAAGGGAAGGACTCCAGGTCAACCTGATAACCCTAAGCTTGCCCTATGAGAGTGGAGCTTCTTTTAGTCACCTTTTGGTTTCTGGTCCTTTCAATGAATATTTGCCAATCCAAGTGAATCTTAGATGTCAATGATTGGCTGGTTAGAAGCAAAAAAAAAAAATGGAAAATAAGTCTGCTACCTCCATTCTATTCTAATAATGACAAACACTTCCATAGTTAAGTGAGAGAACAGCCTCCATTTGAAACTGCAAGCTGAGTAATATTTAACAGTTACACATCTTTATGAAACAAGAAAGTGTGATGACGCTTGGGGGAAATTTTTTTCTTTTATTTTTTTACCAAATGAACACTCTAAATAACCAAATGTTTTCATTACTGTGCACTTCATTTGGCTTCGGTGACTAAACAAAACCACTGAATCTGTGACTGTTTTCTAAAGTGCATTTCAGAAAAGATTTTTTGGATGTGCCACTCTGTCTGGTGTTTACTTTTTATTTAATTTAGCACAATACCAAAATGTTTCTACTAAAGATGTCGGACCTCATCCACTCACCTTTGCACTTCACCTAACAAGATGCCAGGTCATTTGTGGGTGTAGAAGAACAGCATCCAAAAAAAAGGGGGGGGGGCATCTATCCTGATCTAATCCTCCAACCATAGGCGAGGTAGAAACCCTCCAGAGCTTTGCTTCAGTTTCTTGGTCGGTACCTACTCTCAGCTCCAGGTGTGATCTTCACAAGCTAGGCAAATCCCGGTGACAATCTCCCTCTTCATCAGCTACGAAGGAGAGCTAATGATTCTCTGAGGTGAGGTTAGGACTGCTGAGAAAGCTCGGGCTGCTGAATGTCCCTCTCCTGCCAGACTTCAAGCAGGACAGAAATATGAGAAACCAGATTCATCCCACCCCACTGTCCTTCTCAGTATCTTCCTGACCCAATGGAAGAAAAGGATACCATGAAAAAGATAATATAAACATTTTAAATAAAGTTTACCAATTAAAAGGACTGATAGATGGAATGAGGCATTCTTCAAAATCTATTGTCATGCCTTTGTGGACTTTATTGCTTATCAGCATTTCCCCCCTCAAGAAAAACAGAACAGCAACATTTGTTCAGGAAAAAAAAAAGTAAACTATGTTTCTTCCTTTCTTATTACTTTTATTGTTTGAGGTTTCTTTTAGACTATAATGTGGCATTGTGATTTTGAGATGGGAAAAAACAACCCTTGTCTTTCAAACATAAGAATGTGATTGTATGCTATTGTTGCCAACAATGAGCTAAAGAGGTTAATGGATCACATATCTGGCAAACAGCCATCTTTCCTCCAATTCAATACATTAAACAAGATACATTTTGTTGCTGCTGCTGCGCTTCTGATTTTGTCTGAGTAGTTGGTAAATAAGTTTACTTACATTTAAGTTATCTCTTTCTAGAACTCAACAGCTTTGTCCTTCCGGCTGTATCCTGAAATTTAAAAAGTGCTAGGAACTCTGAGTCAGACCTTTGGATGTCAGGGTGAGGGGGGGCGGGGAGGGTGTGGGCTGGCTGGCTGTTGACTGAGAATCTAGAAATATTGTGCCTTGCCAATTGTATCAGACCTTCCATTTTCAGATTGCCTAAATTAACAGTGAAATTACCATAATAAAAAGGAATGGGTACTAGAGAAAGCACCACAATTCTTTCTAGCGTTGTTTCCAGGGATCATTCTAACAGACCTCTGATTAAATGGACCGGCCGCTCCACCCACCGTGGGGCGGAGTGGGGGTGGGGTTGACTCAACTTTGCATTCTAAGACTGTCCTTTGAAAACAGGCAGCAGTCATAAGCATTTACGCTGTGATTCCCCGCCTAAAGGACGTCCCTGTGTATTGCATTTAACTGTGAAATTATATAGAGACCTGATACCTCAACAGCCAAAATAAAAAGAAAAGAAAGAAAGAAAAAAGGTTTCTTTTTAGGAAACTCCACAGGGAAAAACTTTATCAAATAAAGGAGGGGGCTGGGGTTGGGAGAGAAGCAGCAGCCCATCAGTCTCAGATCAGGTGGGATCCTTTCCACCAGGCAAAGAGCACAGTAACCAACTATTTCATTGAGCCCCGGGCCCAATGTGTTTGCTGGGAGCAAGGGGTAGGGGAGACCTGGACTGAATTGGGAAGGTGAGTTCAGGATCTGGACCTGGAAAAAACGCCCTGATCTCCGCTTCCCAGCTAGGCGGTGATCGCCCCCTGCGACTCCGGAGGCACACAGCAGCCTGAGAGCCACCGCTGCCATCCGCAAACCCTCAGACTCAGCTCTCCAGCCAGGCAAGCTGGAGCCACACACCAGATCCCTGGACACCTGTGTGCCCCCAAGCTCCAGGCGCAGGCCCCCGTTACCCCAAAGAGACCGATCTCAACAACTCAGAGATGGAGTCCCTCGGACTTCCATGTCCCTGGGTTCTGCCTCTCAGGTCACTTCCGCGGGTTCTCCAGGCCACGACCTCAATCCACCTGGGGTGGGGGTGGAGGGCAGCACCCCCCCCCCTACCGTGCAGCTGGCCCGCGGCTCCCGCGCCTGGGTAGGACGCGTGGGGCTCAGCCGCAGGACCTCCACCTCCTGGTACATCCTCTCCTCCCCTTTCCCTGCCTAAAACCCTGCCCACCCCCTGCAGGGCGCCGCTCGGGTGTGTGCGCCCACCTCTCCCAGGAAGACACCTGCGCTTCTCTCCCCACCCTTCCCGGCCCTGGACGCGGAGGTTTCTCCCCCGCCTTTGGGAGCCGGGGAGCGGCAGCGGCAGCGGGAGGAGGAGCTGGGAACGGAGGGAGAGGACGAGCCGGAGTAGGGGCGGGGTGGGTGGGGAGAGCCCCGAGGGTGTGGACTGGCAGCCACTCCGCAGCTGGTCGCCGGGGACCCGGTCCCTCCCGCGCGCCGAGTGATGGAGGGGAAGAGATTCGCTTAGACACACACGCGCGCACACAGCTGGGCACGTCTCTGGGAGGCAGCTGCCGGCCTGGGGCGCGCCGGGGGCCGGGCGGCGGCCGTGACAGCGTCAGCCGCGGGGGAGCGGGGAGCCCGCACAGCTTGGCACCGGTGGCTCCGACCCGGGAAAGGGAAGAACCCAGCGAACCGTTGCTTTTTACGGGGGCGAATCAGGAAGGAGCAGGCTGCCTTAGAACTGTCGCCGGGGACGCAAAGA